GCTAAATCCAGCTGCAACTACCAGAGAAATCGGAGAAATGAGCAGTGCAATTCCACGAGTGACAACTTATTTTTTTTTGTCTCCATTCTTTTTATTTTTTAATCTATTAATGTGTTTTAAACGGTCTGTAATTTTCCAATTGTTCTGAGCAGGATGAGGAGGAGACTCCTATAATTCCAGGGGGCTGTTTTTAGCAAGGGTATTGAAATAAGCTTGTGAGTGGTTTCCTTTACAACTTTATAGGTCACCACCCTTCCTCTTGGAAATCAAAAACGTAACTTTTCCATAACTTGTTAAACAATGCTTGCAGTGCAGTGGTATCCTACAGCTTCCTGCAGTAATTAAATTATAGTATAACTGGCTTGAAGGAAAAAGATTTAACCTACTCTGCGTGTGTGTATGCGTAACAGTATGCATATACATATAGGATATATACATGCTGTTCATTTTTATTTTCCTCTGGCCTTAGTAGTAAGAAGCTTTGGGAAATAGGTTTGAAAAGGATTAGCATATATTTTGCTGGAGTTGCATGTAATATAAATGAGATTTCATTTTATATCCAGTGGTGACTTGGTCTAGTTACGCCGTGTTACATCTCTGTAGGATTTCCCCTGTGACAGTGAGACTCCACCAAAGGACACCACTACCTTATTTGCCACTCTTGGGTTGCACGTCATGAGTTTCTGTTTATTACTATATGTATTTTTAAAGAATTAAAGCCCCTTCATATTAGAGCACGCAGGATCTGAATTAAATATTGACATTCACCTTAACTTTCTGGTAAAATTACTGTAAATTCTCTGTCAAAAGAATATAGTTCTTTTTGACCTTCTGCAAAATACTGAAGGGTGACCACCATTGCCACTGGAGCATCTTGGATGGAGTTGGTTTATTTATTTTTAGAGCGAATCATAAAAACCAGTAACAGAACAGCATAGTAGTAGGTTGCTGGTATTACAAATAAATCACTTTAAAGTTAGTTTCTCATTAAATTGTGAGGGAGGAAAGACACAGCTGAATCTGCAAAATACATGACTTGCATCTGTAATTTTAAAGCCTTATTTATCATGCACCCGAGGTAAAAGTGTCAAGAAGGAGACAGTTTAAAAAATGTGACGTTAGTAAGGTGCTCAGATTTTGCACTGAGTGCCCTTCTGTCCAAGGGAAGCAAAATGTATTCCCAGATTCTGGGGTATTTGCAATAGCTTTTGCCATCTTGTGTCTGACAGAAACATTATGTAAACATTTAGCGGCTAGTTCTCTTGCTGGTATAGATAAACATAGCAATATCCTTTACTACTGCCAGGAATTTTTGGTGGTAATTTAATAGAGGGGAAATTTTCATAATTGATTTTTGTTGGTATTGGAAGGGGCAGCTGGGATATACCACTATAATAAGAGGAATCATCCAATACATTCATTAGTGCCCTACCGAGAGTTGCTTTTAAATCAGTTTAGCAGAGTAGGAGAGGAAAAAAATGAGCTTCAGCACTGTCAAGCAAGCTCTGTAAAAAGCTTTTTCTGATAATCAGAAAAATGTCACTTAATGTACAAATGCTTCATTGTGTAGCAAAAATGCAGTAAAGGCAATTTTATGAGCAATGCTTTTGTTTGTTACTCAGCATCAAGAGTAGCGCGTACATCTGAGATTGCAGTTGCTGTGTCCAAAGACTGGATTTTTTTCCTACCCCATATTCACGTTAGAACAAATTGCCACTGCATCTAGTTAGACTTCTCAATGAGCATCTTCTAGTAGGAGAACTGGGCCTAATGGATATTTTTGTGGCTCTTGTGTGATATTTATCATTGCAACACCTGAATGGGTTAGGCAATACAGTTACGCACTTCTGACAACTAAAATCGTGTCTTAATAAGCAGTTTGACTGAGCAAACATCTGGGGTTTATATAGGTTTTGCCATGGCTGATGGCAAAATCACAGAAAATGTGACTTTGCTTAAATCTTTTTAGGTCACATTTGCTTGGAAACGTGCAACTAAATCTCTCCCCCTGCCCGTATACCC